ATGCCCTCGACGAGCCTCTCCAGTGACGGCATCCAGCTGGGGGCCAGGTGGCAGTTCTGGAAGAAGACCCAGTTGCCCTGCTCCGTGGCACTGTGCATCATGGCCTCAGCGCGCGGGCCCTGAGGAGGCAGAGGAGAAGAGCTCGGAGACCCTGCTCTGCGGTAGCTTCTGGGTGGAAGGAGCACTTTTCAGAGCTACAGCCTGGCTTGTCTCCACGGCTCAACCGATCTTTGCTGTCTGATGGCGCAGCAAAGGCCCTTTGACAACTCTGGCGAGCCTGTGAGGGAGTGTGGAGGGAATGGGAGAATTTGGGATGGATTCTGGAAGTTAGAAGGTAGTAGAGGAGGAACTGCTGCAGCTGCCTACAAGGGTGTTTGACCTACTCGGAGCTAGGTGAGATGGCCGGGAAAGCAGGACAGTGCTGCCCAGGGGGGCACCAGCAGCTTACCTGGCCTTGGCCCAGAGAAATGGCAGAGAGCTTTTGGGAGAACTTCATCTCTTCGGCAAACCTGTAGAGGTCCGCAGCGGGGTCAGTGCCCGGGGACAGCACGAACACCAGCGGGGTGTTGGCCTTGGACTCCCTGAAGACGACCGAGAGGTCAGTGGTCTGCAACACGGAAAGCTGGTCAGAGCGGAGGGGCCACAGCGGCACCGCCTGCAGCACCTCCTCGCCCCGCCTGGCCTCCAGCTCCTCCCCAAGGCACCAGCAGGCTCCTGGGCACCGAGGCCAGAAACGTGTTCGGTAACAGCCCAGTACAGCAATCCTCCAGGTGCATCAGGATCAGGGCAATAACCACCTTCCTGCTTTAATATCTCTCTCATTTTTAATATTTAATGGCTTTAAATTGAAAGAGGGTAGATAGAAGGAAGAAATTCTTCCCCGAGAGGGTGGGGAGGCACTGGGACAGGTTGCCCAGAGAAGCTGTGGATGCCCCATCCCTGGAAGTGTTCAAGGCCAGGCTGGATGAGGCTTGGAGCAACCTGGTCTAGTGGAAGGTGTCCCTGCCCATGGCAGGGGGGTTGGAACTGGATGGTCTTTAAGGTCCCTTCCAACCCAAACCGTTCTGTGAGTCTACAACTTAATCACTCAAAATGCTTCCCTCGTCTGCCTGCGCTATCTGCCCCCTCCCAGTGTGGTTTAAGCAGTGGACGTTAGGTAGGAGAGCCCTCATCTCAGACGTGTTTCCCCAGCTGTGGGAATGCTGCGGCTGCAGAGAAGCAGGAGCACTCCCACTGCAACTGGACAATGCTGATGGCCCACTTAGAGCAAGCTGGAGGCCTCCTGCTCCACTCCTGGCCCCACCAACGCTTCCCGCTGGCCGGTTACCTGCGGCTCAATGAAATGCCGATCCAGGTTCAGCGCCACGAAGTCCTGCATGGCGTTGGTGATCTTATCTCCCCGCAGACACCGCAGAACCAGCAGCTTCTGGAAGGCATCAAGCTCAGCTTCCCACTTCCCGGGCAGGGGCTCTCTGCAAAGCAATGAGATGCATTTTGGGGGGATGTGCCAGATCCTGCAGCTCCCCAAGAAGCACCCAAGTTGCCAGCAGGCTGCAACTGGGGTTTCAGAAGGGTCAAGGACCCTCCAGTCGCTTGGCTGAGGTGGATGTGTGTAGCTCTGAAGCCATCAGCAGGCAAGTCAGAGCTGCTTCCACTGGGGAAGCGTCAATACTGCTGGGCTGAGGCCTCGTGTGGCTCTGCCCTGGGCCAGCAACCTCCACAAGCATCCTCTTCCCTGTGTGGCACGGCACCAGCAGCAGAGCCATTGCTATGGCTGTATTGGCTCCTCAGACCCTCCTGGGCACAACATCACCCGCCGGGTGCAGTGCAGCCTGGCTGGCAAAGCCGGGGGCACTTGCCTGTGAGGTTTGGGGCTGTCAAAAATGGCCCTGAATGCTACAAGGTTGGCTGCGAAATCCTTGGCGAAGCCGGAGAAGTTCTTCAGGCTGCTCAAGGCCAGAATGTCTCCCCACGCTCTCTCACACAGCCAGGCCGGAGCTGGGTTCTCTCTCATCTCCTTTATGGTTCCTCCTGACAGCAGGTACCGCCACTCATCCTGGGAACAGGATAGGATGTGGTCAGGGATTATAGCCTACCGGCCTGGGCCTGAGGCACGTGGGTTTGTGTCATATCCAGCTAAAATCCTGTTGTAACGTTCTGGCTGCCTCTCCTGTGTGTGTGTGTGTTGAGAAGTAGGTGAACTGGAGGGTCTGGTGAGATCAACATCACTGCCCAGCTGCCACTAGCTTTGCTCTGTCTTCTAACCCCTGCCTGCTCCCTCCAAACCTGCTAACCTTGGCAGCAGTCCGGCAGCAAACTGGGAAAAGCTGCAGGGGATTCAGGCTAGGCAGCTCTGCACACAGACACAGGGAAAGGTTTGAGATCCGAGTGAAGAGAGAGGCCCCGGGAACTAGGAACTAGGCTCCTTTTCCACCCTGCTATCTATTCCACCTATTCCAGGGGGCTGAACAGGCTGGGCTTGCGTTGCCCTGGTGGGATCCCGCAAAAGCGCCGAGACGACTTGCTCACCATATCGATCCGCCCATCGTTCATCAGAATCCGGACGCAAACCAGGAAGGCAAACATCAGCTTGTGCTTCTCGAAGAGGCTACGGCACACGTTGCTGTAGAGGCTGAAGGTGATGTAGTTGTTGATGTTCCTGATCCGGTCCTTTAGGGTGTCTGAAAAAAAGGCAACAACCAGAGGAGGGTGGTGGGTGCTATGGGTGACGTGAAGGGTGCTCTCCCTCACAGGGGCACCCTCGCACCCTGCCCAGGGCGCAGACGCTGCTCTCAGCCTTGGGCACAAACCCCTGAAAGCACAAGGCTGTCAGACTCCGCATACGGGAGAAAACGTCGTCCCGGCACCGGCGGGACGCCGCGCTGCACCATG